TTTATATGAAAAAAAAATTTAAAAAACTTTATTTATTTTATGGTTTGTTTTGTTTTTTAAAGTGCAAACCATACCCAACTTTTAGTTAGGTTATCTGGTAGTGCAAAAGTCCCAGCACTTTAGGTATACTATGTGCACAAATACAAAGTATAGAACATAAACAGATTGATGTCCTGAAGTACTGAGTTCTGTAGTGATTTCTGAATAGACTGGTAGAGAAGAAAATGGAGCACCTCCTAAATATACAGAGACAATGACAAAATACCTCAGCTCTCTGTTATCTTAGCAACAAGAATTCATTAAGGAGTTCTGCCTTCCCATTCAAGAATCCCAGCAGCCTCAATAAAGAATTTACGCGTGTATTTGTAAACATTTATGTTAGAGTTGTATTGCTGACAAGACCTGAGGATTGAGACTAGTTATAATCGAAATTTTGAATCTTTTTAGCAGTGGCGGCTCTAGACTTTGTGAGGCCTTAGGTGACACTCGAACATGAGGTCTCCACTGACAACCATAGTAAAAAAAATTAAATAGGGGTTGCATTGTGTGTGCATAAGGGACTGTACGGTTTGTGTATATGGGATACAGTGTGCATGGGGTATAGTGTGTGTACAGAGGCATATACCGTATATACTCGAGTATAAGTCAACCCGAATATAAGTCGAGACCCCTAATTTTACCCCCCAAAAATGGGAAAACGTATTGACTTGAGTATAAGACTAGGGTGGGAAAATGCAGCAGCTACTGGTAAAATTTCTAAATAAAATTAGATCTCCCAAAAAATTATATGAATTTAATATTTATTTACAGTGTGTGTATATATAATGAATGCAGAGTGTGTGTGTGTGTGTGTGTGTATGTGTATGTATGAATGCAGAGTGTGTGAACTTGGTGGGGGGTGGGCATTTTTATTATTTTAATATTACTAAATTTTTAAATTTGTATTTTATTTTTTCGTCCCCCCTCCCTGCTTGATACATGGCCAGGGAGAGGGGCTATAGTAATCCCTGGTGGTCCAGTAGGGTGTACTGTGCAGGAGGGGGGCTGGCAGCGAGCTGTTCCTTACCTTTCCTGCAGCTCCTGTCAGCTCCCTTCTCCTCCGCTTCGTTCAGCTCCACTGTAACTCTTGCGGTCTGAGTGCCGCGCGGAGCGTTGCCACGGTAACCCGTGGCAACGCTCTGACACCGCAGCTCTTGTGAGACTTACAGTGGAGCTGACCAGAACAGAGGAGAAGAGAGCTGACAGGAGCTGCAGGAAAGGTAAACGTTCGCTGCCAGACCCCAACAGGACTGCCGGGCTTCTAATGAGCCCGGCGGTCCTGGTCTGTATTATGGCAATGTAAGTTGCCGTAACACAGACAGTGACTCAAGTATAAGACGAGTGGGGGTTTTTCATCACAAAAAATGTGCCGAAAAACTCATCTTCTACTCGAGTATATACGGTAATTAATATATACAAAAAGGTGCGAGGCCAGCAAGGGACAAGCCAAGCCCCGCAAAACTCAAAGCTTGTGGCCACCTTGCCAGGCGGAGAACCCGGAAAGGGAACACCCGTATGCCTAACCCACCTACTTGGAAGCATATACAAGCAAGGCAAAGGGTAAATGCCAGAGCTGGCGGACCGCAACCACAACCTCATTTTCCCCAAAATGGCGGCTTGGGAGCCGCTCGTGGAGCAGGTCTGGACTGACCCAGGCAGAACAATGACAGAGCACGGAGACCACCTACACAAGCCTGTCTAAAAGCAGAGCAGATGGAGTGCTGCATGGAGGGACTTGGAACTGTGCTGCCATACTCACCAGGTGTCCGGCATAGGCTAAACAACATTCCTTTAAACCAGCCTAGCGTTTTATATATTAAATTTTAGCTAGATTTGTCTTTATACCACATGTTATTTTCTTGTTCCCCTCAACCCAGATGTATACTAGCATAATTATAATCTGAAAGTGTTCACTTCTACTTAACTGGCTGGCAGCCCGGACATGCGCCTAAAGGGATGTACTTAATTTTTATAATACCTTAAGTAGTCATACCATATAGATCAGCACGTCCCCATATTATAACCTATATGCTAGCATAGTTTAAAACTAGGAATCTCACTAATAATTGCACTTAGCCGTACATACCTTTAAAGGGACACTCTAGTCACCAGAACAACTACAGCTTATTGAATCTGTTCTGGTGAGTAGAATCATTACCTTCAGGCTTTTTGCTGTAAACACTGTCTTTTCAGAGAAAATGCAGTGTTTACATTACAGCCTAGTGATAACTTCACAGGCTACTCCTCAGATGGCTATTAGAGATCCTTCCTGGGTCATGGCTGCCTAAAATGCATCCAAACATTCAGTATCTCCTCCCTCTGCATGCAGACACTGAACTTTCCTCATAGAGATTCATTGATTCAATCGATCTCTATGAGGAGATGCTGACTGGCCAGGGCTGTGTTTGAATTATGCTGGCTCTGTGTCTGTCCCTGATCTGCCTCTTTGTCAGTCTCAGCCAATCCTATGGGGAAGCATTGTGATTGGATCAGGCTACCACTTCTGATGGTGTCAGCAGACTGCTTGTTGTTTTTTTAGGCAAACAGCATGCAGATCTCCAGCTTCTGGCTTGAAAACAGTAAGATTTTGCTATTTTTATGGAGGAATTAGGGTCTCAGGGGGGCTAGATGGTGTTAACTCTATAGGGTCAGGAATACATGTTTGTGTTCCTGACTTTATAGTGATCCTTTAACAAATGTGCCTAGCCACAGTACAATACAGAGTATCCTTAAAAGCATGTATGTTATACACAGAGGTCGGGTAGCTGGTCTAATCAACATTTCTTGAAGCCTACATTGGCTTATGTTTAGTTCGTTCTCTAATAATCAATTCTTCAGAATCCTGCTTTATAATCCTGCTTTATAATCCTGTTTTGCCATCTATTTTCTTATCATCAACATGTCTAAGTAGGCGACAATTTTCTAAGATGCTTTTCCCTATACTCCAGACATGTTTGACAAGCCTATTATATTACAACGTTATTTAAAAATGTGTGCAGTAATCATATATGCCATGTACCTGTTAAACTGTGTGTATTACAATCCTTGTTATTGCTGTTGTGGCATAGCAAGAGCGTATGTTAAATATTTGCACCACAAAAATAAAGAATGTAAAAAAAAAAAATAAGAGACCAACATTTAATTCACACCTAAGTAGTTTGCAAAAAAATAAAATAAAAAATAAAAACAACCAACCCAGAATTAAAGTATTTTGAGTATTCCAGAAATATAATGTGTACATTTATTTTTCATTTAAGTATGCATAGATAAACAGGGGTCAAGTCCTGGGTAAAAAAGTGTGGGAATTCACCCAAGATCCCCCACCAATGCATATATGTATGCATATATAAACGCGTGCACACACACACACACACACACACACACACACACACTCTCAGACACACACATACACTCACAGACACTCACACAGTGGTGTATTTAAAATTTTGTGCTGCCCCAGGCATGACTAAAACTGAGTTAAACTTACCACCCTTTCCTGATTAAGAACCCCCCCCCCCCCTTCCTCTTTACACTCTACCTTTTAAAGAAATACTATAGTTCCAGGAAAACAAAGCTGTTTTCCTGGCACTATAATTCCCTATAGTGAGAGTGTGTGTCCAATTGCGAGTATCCTTGTAGAATGTGGGTCTCTGTGAGCATATGTATGTCTGTGTCTTGGACTGTATATATGTGGGAGACCAGCTTTCAGTTAGTTGTATGTATGGGGGGCTGCTTGTGGCCTTTGTGCATTGTTTATGGAGAAGCTGTGTTTTATAAGTGTGTGTATATGATGACTGTCTTCAGAGGTTGAAGAAGGGAGAGTATAACAGGGATGAGGGGTGGTGGTGACAGATTGAGGAGAGTGAGCATGACTGGATTAGGGGGCGAATGACAGGTTTATGGAGGTTAATGTGACAGGGTGAGTGTGGCAAGGCTGAGGGGTGAGTGACAGGGTTGTGGGTGAGTGTCACAGTGTGCAAGAAGGCGAGTAGGACTTTTGTAATCTATTTGTGACAATGACTTCCAACAACAATAAAGCCCACGAACACGCAGATGCTATAAACCCTTAAAACAAACTAAATCTACTTTGTGAAGCCTTTTCATTTTATATTATACATGATTCACTCTGACATTCTGACAAACTCACTGTCTTCCTCATACGCTAAGTTTTGCCAAAATTACTGTGTAAATCAGTCCACCCACATCAGCCAGGATTTTAGTCTGGCAATGGACAATAATGCAAACTGCAGTTTTATCATCATACAGAGAGCATGTATAGACTGGAAAAAGCTGTACTTCTCTTATTATAACTATCTATAAAGAGCCAACATTTTGCACTGTACCTGAAATCGAGCCAAAAAACATTTGAGCTGGGTGGGTTGGCAATTTATATTCATGACATACAACACTTTGGTTTGAGACAAAAAAGCTGTACTTCTCTTATTATAACTATCTATAAAGTTATCACATTCTAAACTCATGTTTGGATCCATATTAAAGAGTCATTATCAATTATCATTGACAATAGTGTTCATCACCAATGGAACAAGACAGGGGTGCTCCTTGCTCCCACCTTTATTTGTGCAGGCAACATTTAAAGAAAGAATGCACACAAATTATTTTAATACAAGGTTGTCAAAGCAAGGAAAAGCCTCACAAAAACCTGAGCTTTTTTTTTTTTTTTTTTAAGAGTGGAATGCTTTACCAAGCATACCCCACACATGCAGTAGCCTTTCAGTAAAATTCCCTCAGAGATTTAATTGGAAAAAAAAATATTGAGGTCATTCTTATATTACTTCACATACCATTTTATCAGGGATGACAATCATGCAAAATATATTTATGTTTGACATAGAATTGTGAATTTTCACCAAATAAAAATGAAACTTGATGCATGAAAAGTACAAATATTTATATGATACTATGTTTAACATAATAACAGCTGTATATTAAAAAATAAACACATTTGGCCATCTTGCTGGAGGATATGATGCACAGTACTATGGCTATTTATGGAGTGAGGTGTTTTCTATGGACATGTTTTACACACGGTTTAAACAGGAAGGCATAATGTGCAAAGAGGTGGGTGCAGATTATAGGAACTATATTCTGAAACCAGGTGGGTCTCTTGATGCCTCAGAAATGCTTTGTAACTTTCTTGGCCGTGACCCGAAGCAGGATGCGTTCCTCCAAAGCAAAGGATTGACTAACCAGCATTCTTCTGTGCCCTAAGCCTGTTAAATCACTAAATCAAGCTGATGTTTTTGAGCTCATATCTGAAACAATTACTATTAAAGCCTGCTTTGCATAAAATAATAAAAAAAAAAAATAAAAAATAAAAAAAATAAAATAAAATAAAAGAGAAGGCGTCAGATCATTGCACATTCTCCATGGTCCAGAATGACAACTTACTAAGCATGTATACAGGTTAGCAATTGCATAGCAACCCTCGCATAAAAAGCTAGCAGAGTACAGCTGGCTACTAGCCACTTCCTGGATTACATTATGGTCAGTGATAAGAGTGGGTAAGGTTAATGAATAATCAGTAAATATCTGTAATAAAATGTGCACATATCAAAATCCAAAGACAACCTAAAAATCCAACATCCAAAGAAAATTAGGAATATAACACTTGGATACCCTTTTACCAATAGCCAGGGCTTGTTATTCTTTGTGCTCACACAATACTCCAAAGAAACGACTACAATATGGCTCTGAATTAAAGAGGTTAATTTGTCTTCAAGTTGTTACTTTACATATTCATGATGTATCAAAAAGAAAGGGAATACTGCACTCTTACTGAGATCCCAGTGCTACCAGACCTGGGGCTGGCTACTACACCCACCGTAATAGTTGAACAAAGTTGTGGTCCAGGCACTTGAGGGTCAATTATGCAGCAGATTTATTTGGGGGAAAAGTGTAAAGTTTCGATCTCCAAGAGATCTTTCTCAAGATAACACCAAAGTGTACCAATACAGGTTAGATAGGGTATACAATTAAACAATAAATGAATACATAATTATACAGAGGTGTTTTACGAATCACATAAACAAACAAGTGCACTCTCCATTTTATTTTTTTTGCATGATGACGTGTGGGATTCTCCTTCTTCTAAAGAAAGAAACCAGCTAACAAAAATACAAATAATGTGCAAAGGTTTCTGGAAAGTATATGGCTTCTGCTTTCACAAGCTGGAGATTCTGGGAATTACGTTTCTTCATGAATTCATGGGTCCACTCCTTCTCGGTCATCAGTTTTGCCAGTGACCTTGTCTGGTCTTTTACTTACACTTGTAATACTAACTCTTACCTAGAGGAATTCTCAAGGGCAGCTTCATTCCTATAGAACAACCTGTCTCCCGTGATGTCCTTGGGCTGAAGCGAATGGGGAGATAAAAAGGATCTCCCCATTCAGCCCATGCAGGTCAAATGTTACCCTACTGCCAGTGTTAAAAAGGCAACTCTAATGCCATATGCATGTTGGCGAGATCAAGCAAATTCCTTTACCGGTCAGTACACTCTAATGCAAGGGGGTCAAGTGAACTTGCATCCAGTGTGGGCACACCACATATGCTCTGGTGAATGTACAATACATTGATCTTCTCCACCATCCTGCCCCTGGGCCACCCTGTAGTAAATTTTGCTGGCTGGTGAGGGTTATCACCAGACCACTCAGGATGTGCATTCCCACCTCTCTGACTCAAGACAGAAAAGAGGGAGGGCACAAGATCAACTTTATATATTTTTTTCCACACACACACACACACACACACACGCTTAGTCCCCATGCATGAACAATACAGCCTATCTGCTCCTTTGCACAAACTGTACACACTATAGCCCCCATTACCCTACCCATACACAACAGCCTCTATAGCCCCACACATACACACAACAGTCCCTAACCATAGACATGTAGAAACACTAAAGCTCCATATCTCCCGACTTGAGGAAGCATGGATTTGGGCCTAGAGGGAGCATGCCAGTAACTAGTCTGACTCTTGCATAACTGGCAATGCTCAAAATGAACAGTCCCACCTGGAAACGAGGTGCAATTGCCCACATAAGGTGAGTGTGTGTCTGGTGTAAATGCTTGCCAAGATGACAGAGCTTCCAAGCTAGCCCCACTCAGGGCTGACCATGCAAACAGTGCTACAGAAACGCTCTGTATGATTCAACATAGCGCAAGTGCTTCTAAAGATGTGCTCAGGCTTTGCTAGCTGAGCACATTTCCTTGGTGCCCCCAAATGTGGTATACCAGAGAACAAAATTGGGATAGTAAGACAAGACCCTAACATGTGGGCTGTTACACCTAAATTGAGGCTAATGGGAAGCTTGCAGGCCCTTATCGTCCCACACACAAACCACAGCCCCTATTCTCCACCGAACTGGAGTGTTGACTTTGATGGAGTATGAGTGTCACTGAAGATAACACACACACATTGGATCCTCTATCTCCTATTAAGCTGATCTGCCTATAAATGCTTAGGTCTTTTTTTTGCTTTAATTCAGTCATGTTTAAAAATGGTCTCTTCAGACAAGCCTATGGTCTCCATGTGTAATAATTGCATTTACAAAACCTCTTGTCCTCAGTCCTGACATGATTAGAGGCTTCACATTCCACTACACTCACCAGTTTATTTTATCCACCATGTTGTGCTATCCTCTATGCTCTTATACCTCATCTGCTTCATTAACCTCTTGTCCCTGTTAACATTTCGAATAATCTCCTTTATTTGCCATTATATCCTCACATTAAAACTGCAAATTGCCTTAGAATATGTTGACGATACATAAATGCTAATCAGAATATTAATTATAATCTGCTAGTGTGCAGTATATATACACACACATTGTCTACTTCATAAAAAACAACAGTAACGGTAAACTACAAATCACAAATCATGCACTGCAGAGAGCTTTGGCAGTAGAATTGCCAGATTGCTTGGGTTATGGAGGACACGTGATTTGAATGCTTCTAGCAGTAAATAGCATTCATCTCAATTAAGTGGTTATGGTGTCAGGTGCACTGTTTTAACATCTAGTGTTAAACTGTTTAATAATGGTTTACCACACTCAGCCACTACGTACCCATAGATTGCTAGTGCAAGATAAATAAAATATATGTACATTTTCACGCTATAGAGAGCCTATGATAGGCTGAGAGAGTCAGCTAAGCAGCTCAAACTGGGATGTATCAAGGTATCTAAAAATGTATAAAGTAAAGGAGCACTATAGTGTTGGGAATACAAAGATGTATTTCTAACACTATAGGAACCCTCTGCTTCCAAGCAATATTAAGGATTAAATAACTTTAAACACCAGATTCCAGTCACAATGTCCCTTGGCGGCAGGTCGTGCTCCACCTAGCGGATGTCAGCCCATCGAAGGAACCTAATGTGCAATGCTCTCTTATGGGAATTTTGAAAATGATCGACATCCGCATGCACAGCGCGAGGACATCCAGTGCCGTTTCGCAGAGTCAAACTCCGTGGAACTCCAGGAAGTGCCTCTAGTGGCCTTCTGGTAAATATCCATTAGAGGCAGTCTTAACCCTGCAATGTTTTACATTGCAGGGTTAATGGGACAAGGACAGTGCACCCAGACAACTTCAATGAGATGAAGCGATCTGCTTACCTATAGTTTTCCTTAAGATTAATATTATAAAATTCTAATGTAATTGTCAACACATCACAACTCTCTGTTTAGTGTGTGTTTAGGGGGTTGTGTGACCCTTGCCAGGCTGTTCTGCAGGTGTACAAACAATAAGATGGGCAGCCTGTGTAACACTGAGGACAACACTAACATTACATTATGGACATAGTTTTATATTTTAGCAAACATTGCCAATTCCATGTTACAAAAAGCAAATACAGAACAAGATTTGCACAAAACTGAATTATACTGAATTATAAATATTTCTGTTTTCAACATGATCACACTATAATGCAGTATACATGCAGGTAAGGCACTTAGAGATGTAATTACTAATAGTTAAACAGAGCACATATTTGTGATTTAAAAAAAAAATTATGTAGCGATTCTGGAATAGTTCAGGAAAAAGTCAAGCACTACATACTAGATCAACTGATTGGCCATGCCTGCTGCACTGTGAATTGTTCAGAATGAGATATTCCTTACTGATCGCCACATCATGATCCCTACTAACAAAGTAGCACTGCATGTATCAAATATTTCACCAAGAATACCTCATGTTCCCAAGCCTTCCGGGTAGAAGAATTCACAAAAGGGCCACAAACACTCTTATCTTCTAGTTCTGGAATACATTAAATGTAACCCACCAAATGCTGGAAGGAATGCAGAGGAATCCCCCTCTATTGTGCTTAATACACAGGACTGAAACACTATATGAAATCAGGATGAGACAGGGAGCCTTGCCAATGGGTTGGGATGGGACTGCTTCAACTCACTGACTATCTGCAGACACGTCACTAAACTCAGTATTACAGCCCTAAAAATGTCCCATCTCTTTCCAAGCTGAATCCTGCAGCAGATAATGGAGGTGAGACTCACCATATTAAGTAGCAGGAATGCAGCAAATTCCAGCTGTGAGCAGATATCCGCACCCTCAGTGATCCATGCACTATTAATGCCGCACCATTGTCCCGCTGGCAACAACTGTCCAAGATCTTTTTTCCTTCATTCCTCCTCAATCTTTTTTTTTTTTCTTTCAAACTGGAATGAAGGCAGCTTGCTGGAGCTGAGAGCAGAAGCCAATTGGACTGGCTGCAGTAGATGTGCAGCTCAGTTGGAGGAGGCTGCTGTCAGTCATTGCTAGCTTCTCAACGTCACGGGATTTGCTTCAACAAAGCTAGAGATTTTGGAAATTCAGCCTCTCTCTCTCCCTCCCTACACACACACACACACACTTGTAATGCACATCAACCACATTCCTCTGAGGTCACCTGACCAGCCCATTGCTTTTTTTCCTCTAACAGCTGTGCAAGAAAGAGGGGGAAAAGCTGTCAAAAGAAAAGATATCCTAATATTTATATTTATTATTTTCAATGGGGGGAAAAAAAGCTGTGTTTGACTGAATACACTCTTCTGTACTTTATCATAGGATTTCCCAGCAGTTATAGTTTTTGTTCAAGTTTCAAAAGCTTGTTAAAAAACTTACTTTTCACTGTTCTTTGCCTGTGTTCGGATGGATCTGTTTCTATCAAACACGTTTGGTGCAACTTTCTATCTACAGCAAATAACTGGATGGTTATTATGATTATATCATGATATATTATATAAGACACATGGGGAAATTGTTATGTTTATCTTTTTTGTTACTCCCAATTGCAGCAAAAAACAAAAACAAAACATATATACAGATAATTACATCACCCCTTCCCACCAATCATAAGACAGCATGGGCTATAGTAACATTAGGAATATTCTAACAACCTCTTTCTTTGGACTATCCTAATGCCACCTAAG